CAGAGCACCTTGCCCGGGGCTTTGCGACTCCAGGGTGGACATGTGAGAACCAGGAGGCAGGGGGCAGGTCATGTCTTCAGAGGATGAGCCACGCTTTTATTACTGGTTGGTGCAGTGAACCGTTTTGAATACGCTCTCCATGATATTTGCTTTAACTGGGGCAGTTTCTTTTGTATTCACCTGCGCTGTAATTTAATGAACGATCCTTGGCAAACAGCCAGGCGGCAGAAGGTGACCCTAACGGGTGCTGAACACTTTAAGTGGCTTCCGATGTGACGTGAATCAGCCTGAACATCTCGGGATTGTTAAGAAGGTTACTGGAAATATCTTCATTCCATGTAAATGTAATCCTTTGAATAGTGAAATAATTCAGATTTGAATACGTTTTAGGTGGGTAATGAAAGCGAACCGGGTGGGAGGGAGGAGGGAGGGCAGGGCGAGGTGCCTCCCGCGGCGGGAGACAGCGCCCAGGGCCCGGGGGGCGAGCTGGGGCCCCTCGGATGTGTGTGTTCTAGAAGAGAGACCTTTATTATCCAGCAGCCCCCAACTCTTTGGTTGAGTGTTCATAATGAAGTTCAGGCATTTAAGGCTTTCATTTTGTAATTTAATTAAGGAAAAGTCACGCTTTAATTGAGTCTTTTTTTTAAAATAAAAGCTTTATGTTTTTTTCTTTTCTCATCGAATTATGATTATTGACAGACTGGTTTACATAAAGGTCTCTCTTAGGAAGTTCTGGGAGTCGGGGGGTGCTTTCTGCCCTACACCCTGTGCCCTCCAGACCCTTGAGAAGATTGTGCTCATGCACACGCTGGTCAGACCCACCTCACTCTGCCATTTCACCCAGAACCCCCAGTGCCTGTACTGCCCTGTGCAGTTGGAGCCTCGGACTCCGGCCACCCAGGGGCAGGGGCTGAGTCCTGGGGGCAGCTGGTGGGGAGGCCCCCAGACCTGCTCCACTGATTGCTAGGATTTGTTTTTTAAATCTTGGGATTACCTTCCTGCCAACAAATGTTAGTGCAACCGTCGGCTCAGCTCTCTCTTCTAAGTTGATTTTTAATTTTTTAACTAGTCTTTACTCCCAATGTGGGCTCAAACTCACAACCCCGAGATCAAGAGTTGCATGCTCTTCCAACTGAGCCAGCCAGGCGCCCCCATCTCTTAACATATATTGTAGACACATATAATACTCTTTTAACTGGGGCAGGAAACTCAGGGATCGGTCCATTAAACCTCCCTGGATGTCGGACAACGTGGGAGAGTCCTGGGAGCTGGGGAGGCCTGGGGGCCCATCGCAGGGGCATCATGGACTCCTTGCGGGTGTGGCTTCACGACACACGTCTGTACTCCACACGGCATCTAATAGTCCCCATCAGCCTCACGCCTCGTGCTTTGTCCGCCATACTTGGTGGTTTCTCTTTAACATGGAAACACATTCTTCCCCGGATGCTAGGTCCTCATGCCTCCCACAGGTACAGGGGCTCCAACGCAGGGCCCACAGTACAGTTGTTCACACCAGCGGGGGTGGGCCAGGGCCTGGGGTGCCTCGTCTGTCTGGGAAGGTCTGGCGAGGTTGTCCCTGTTGTTAGGACGTTGGCGCCTCAAGGTCAGAGATGCTCTGGGAGCAGGCAGGCCACACACCTCACAGCTGCTGTTTGGACACCCCCGCAGACAAGGCATAGCCCCTCGTGCCTGTGGGCTCTTTGGGGGCCCCCGGGGTGTGTCATCCACCCCGGAAGCCAAAGGGGAGCTGAGACCACAGCAGAGCAGCACCGTGGTTCTCTCTCTATGGGCCCAGGAAAGTGTGTGCGGCCAGCACAGGGTGATGGCCACCCTGGCAGAGGTGGCCCCCCGGGGCTGTTGGGGGCAGACACAGAGCAGGAGGGGCTGGGCTGGGACATCAGCCAGAAAGGGGTGTGCAGCCTGCACCAGCCGCTGTTGGGAAAACACGGTTCAAGATGCCTTAGCACACATGGTGGCCCAGAAGGCGGGAGTCGGTGGCCAATCATGAACCAGATGCCAGGGATGGAGGGAAGCGAACATCTCTTTAACTCAGCTCTAATTATATGTCAGACATGATAAAGTTACCTGTTGAAGTCTACGTCCTGAAATTCCTGGCTTCTGAGTGTGTAAAGCAAACTCACACTCACTTCATTAATGTCCTGGGTATTGGTCCCGTGATGACAGGATGTGCCGTGCACACTCAGCTTGTCACTCCCTGTGCTGGTCAGATCGGTCGGCGTCTGTAGGTGTGTGTGAGCCACACCTGTATGCACGTGTGGAGCACATGCGTGGAGATGTGTGTATGAGTGGAAATACATGCATGTACAGTGCATGACAGTCGTGCACTAACGTGCTCAAGGCTGGAAATGAGTAATTTTGGGTGGAGGTGAATCTCTCAGACGCCTTTCAGTGAGGGAATGGTGATTAGTGTCCATGCCCCTTCAGCTCCTGACGGCTCCTGGGTGGGGGGCAGACCCTCCCGAGGATCAGCCCGCCTTCTGCGAGGCCTGCCCCCCCACGCCCCCACTGCCCAGATCCCTCTGGACGACGCCCCATCAGGCACCTGTGCGGCAGTCTGTCAGGTGTGCGGGTGGGGAAGTGTTGAAGGCAGATGTGCACGGGTGGCCCCTGTGGCCCTGAGGCCACCTCTTCCTGAGGAACCTTGACCTCTGTGAAGTGCCTCTCCTGGGTTTTTAACTCCTTGTTTGGTTTTTACAAAGACTGTGATTTTAAACTTTTGATGGCGGTGCGTGTGGTCAGGCTGTCCGTAAGCATGTGAGGGTGTGACTGGGGTGCCGCAAGCGCCGGTGAGCGGGGGACACGGTCCCAGGGCTGGCGGCACGGGGGCAGGTGGTGGGAGGCCCAGCGCCCCACCTCCTGCCCTGGGGAAATGAGGGCCTGCTGCTTTTCTTGCGCCCCGTGTCGGGGTTCCTGCTTGCCCCGCGGTCCGTGGGAGCAGATGGGGGACCGCCACTGGAGATAGGCAGCTGGGTCTCTGGGTGCATGAGCTCGAGGGCTTATCCAGGCCCAGCCGTCCTGAGGGGACCACTTCCTGTCCCTCAAAGCTTCTGGTCTGCTCCCTCTTTGGCAGGGCTCTCTCCCCCAGGGCACTTTGGCACAGACACTGATGCTCTCTTGGAAAGCGGGCGGGCCTGTGTGCTCTCCCCAGGCCACCTGTGAGGGGCCTGGAGGAACACAGGCAAACAGGTTTTCCTGGGGGCTTTCCGAGCAGTAGAAGCAAGAACTTCTGAATAGCAGAGACTGTGAGAACCTGATTGCCAGAAGGAGCGGCCGAATGGCTCCTTCTGGAAATAAGCAATAGCAGACGTAGACGCCCGTCTGTTTGGGGTGCGAGACCCGTTTCTGTCCATAAACACGGTGGGGTTTGAGCCAGTACTCCAAGACCCTTGATTTCCCACAGTTGGTCTGTGTGGGTGTCTGGTCACGGCACTGCGGAAGGGAGCCCTGTCACGGAACCACGTACCTTCAGGGCAGTGTGCTGACCCAGGGCCAGTGTCTGGTTTCCATGTGCGCTTCCATTATTTAGAGACTTGGAACACTCTTCCCTAGGTGCACGGTAATGAGGTACCAAGATGTTGTAAAATGTCTTTTCAAATAGGAAATCCAGAAATGTGGTTTTTTTGTTAAAAATTACTAATTATGCTAGTAATGATTTTTAAAATATAGCTTATTGAGGTTATAATTAACATAATGATTCGTAAATCTAGCTGTGCATCAATGTCCTCTGCTTTTTTTTTTTTTGAAACAGGGTTTCCTAGGCCATGAACTACCATCAGAATTTACATGAGAGAGACCCCAGAATCTATGTTTCTATCTGATCCTTGAGGTGTTTTCTTTGTAGCTACTGGTTAGGGCACCTTGACAGTGATTAGCTTATTAAATCTCTTTAAATGTCCAGGTTCCTATAGGTAAAACCCACCCATCCACCCCTCCACCCACCCACCCATCCCTCCACCGAACCCCCTATCCGCCCACCCACCCAACCATTCGCCCACCCAGTCACCCACCCATCCACCATCTATCCACCCACCCATTCATCCACCCATCCATCCATCCATCCATCCATCCATCCATCCATCCATCCATCCACCCACCTACCCACCCACCCATTCATCCATCCAGCCATCCATCTATCCACTCATCCACCCATCCATCCATCCCTCCATCCCTCCACCCACCCACCCATCCACCCAACCCCCTATCCACCCACCCACCCAACCATTCACCCACCCATCCACCATCTATCCACCCACCCATCCATCCGCCCATCCATCCATCCATCCACCCACCCACCCATTCATCCATCCAACCATCCATCCATCCATCCATTCGTCCATCCATCCATCCGTCCATCCATCCCTCCATCCATCCACCCACCCATCCATCCATCCATCCAACCATCCATCCACCCATCCATCCATCCATCTGTTTAACAAATTGGGGACCTTTTATGTGCCAGGCACAGTCTTAGGCTCTGAAGACAGCCATGAAACAAAGTCAACTAAGGCAGGCAAAGGTTCCTGCCCTCACAGAACTTACTTTCCCATGGTGAAAGAGAAGATGGACAAGATGATGCTAAGTGTTGAGGAAGAGATCAGCTGGGGAGGATGACACGGTGTTGGGTTGGGGACTGAAATCTGGGAAGGTGTCTGGGGAAGGCAGTCTTTGCATGAAGAGGGAAGGAAGGAGGGGGGTGGCTCTCTAATGGCAGGACACTTGGGGCAGAGGGAAGCCAGTGGAAGCCTGAGGGTGGTGGGAGGGGCAGTGGGTGCCCTTCTGCTGGAGAGCAGGGAAGGGAGGATGGGTACGGGCCTTGTGGGCCAGGGGGGCCCTTGGGAGCAGTACGAGCTGAGTGGCATTTCGGCGGCTGTGCCCTGGGGTCCAGGCCTGGGCGTGTGCGGCGCTGATGGGCTCACTAAGCTGTGGGTGTATTTTCTGCGGACTGGCCCCTCACGCCATCTTCTCTGTCCCCTTTCTAGAGCACTATAGTTATGCGTCCTCGAGCATCAGCTCTGCTCTGCCTCCCGGCTCGGCTCGCCCCTCGCTGCCAGCTCCATGCCATGACCTGCAGACCTCGGCCCCAGGCATGCCGGCCGCTGCGGCAAGTCAGCCCCCGGGCTATGGTGGGGCGGTGGACAGCAGGCCCTCGAGCTGCTTCCTCTCCTCTGGCCATGTCAGGCCCAATGGGGCCCCCGCCCTGGAGAGTCCTCGCATCGAGATCACCTCGTACCTGGGACTGCACCACGGCGGCAACCAGTTTTTCCACGATGCGGAGGTAGAAGACATCCCTCCCGGCTCCCAGCGGCCCCCGTGCACGGCCACGCTGGGTCTGCCCGGCCTGGAGGCCTACCGCGACCCCTCCTGCCTGAGCCCGGCCAGCAGCCTGTCATCCCGTAGCTGCAACTCTGAGGCCTCGTCGTTCGAGTCTGGCTTCTCGTACCCCTACGCGTCCCCACAGACGTCCCCGTGGCAGTCACCCTGTGTGTCCCCCAAGACCACGGACCCCGAGGACGGCTTCCCCCGGGGCCTGGGGGCCTGCGGCCTGCTCGGCTCCCCCAGACACTCACCCTGCGCCTCGCCCCGCGCAAGCGTCACGGAGGAGAGCTGGCTGGGGGCCCGCACGTCCCGGCCCCCGTCCCCCTGCAACAAGAGGAAACATGGCCTCAATGGCCGGCAGCCGTCCGGCTCCCCACACCACTCGCCCACACCGTCCCCACGCAGCTCGCCGCGGGTTAGCGTCACCGACGACACCTGGCTGGGCAACAGCACGCAGTACACGAGCTCCGCGATCGTGGCCGCCATCAACGCCCTCAGCACCGACAGCAGCCTGGAGCTGGACGGCGTCCCCATGAAGGCGCGCAAGACCGCCCTGGACCACTGTCCCTCTGTGGCGCTCAAGGTGGAGCCAGCGGGCGAGGACCTGGGGACCACGCCGCCCACGTCCGAGTTCCTGCCCGAAGAGTTCCTGTCCTTCCAGCACATCCGGAAGGGTGCGTTCTGTGACCAGTACCTGTCGGTGCCGCAGCATCCATACCAGTGGGCCCGGCCCCGGTCCCCGGCCTCCTACACCAGGTGAGCGGGCGCGTGGCCAGCCGCAGAGCCAGTTCTCATGGCCCGGGGGTGACGGTCCGGATGCAGGTGCCCGCGGGGCTCCTTCCTCCTGAGGCCTCTGTGGCGTCGGATGTGCCGCAGAGCGCTGGCCTCCTCTGCCTTGAGAAGCACCTTCCATCTCTGCCTAAACGCTGTGCGGCACTCTCCCCGCGTGTGTCTCTATTCAGACCCCCCTTTTTACGAGGACACTCTGAAGACCTCGCCCTCACTGAATGACCTCCTTCAAGGTTCCATGCCCTAACCTGGCCGTATTCTGAGGTGCAGGGGGTAGGACTCCAGCACGTGAATTCTGGTGGGGACAGGTCAGCCCCTCACAAGGGCTTGCACACACGTGCACTCAGTTTTTTGGTTGTTTTTTTTTTTTTTAGTAAAACCAAATGGCCCCTCTCCTGTTTGTGTGTTTGCCTCTGCTGCTCCCCCATTTCCTTTCTCCCGCCTAATTGCTGCCACTGCGCGGGTGCAGATGGGGCCTTGGCTCAGCGATTCCCCAGAGCGGCAAACCCCACTCCCCGCAGTCGCTCCCGCAGTCCGCCCTGCCCGCATTTGGAGAACAACACGGCGGCCTGGTCTCAGGAGACGGGCGCCCGCCCCCTGGCAGTCTGGCGACAGCTCAAGCGTGCTCCCAGTGCCGCGGCTCGGGTTGTTGATTTTTCTTTCTAGCGGTGTGCAGGCTGGGGCCACTCCACTGGGTCCACTTACTCAGCCCACTGTTTTTATTTTTAACTAAACAGCTTTCCCAACAGGTGGGCCACTAATGACCCCTGGCAGAATGCTTTCTGCTCCAGGATTTTTATCAGGCATGAAAACGTGCCTCCCCTCACGGGGCACACCCCACCCCCCGCCCGGGAAGCACACATGCTTCTGCGGGCGGTGCCGGGTACCCTGGGCTCAGCCATTTGTTTTTCCTGTGCCTTTGTCGTTGGAGGGCCTTCTGGAAGCAGCCCTGGGGAGAGGGACCCACGGGTTCCAGCAGTGTGCGCCCTGCGGTGAGGGAAGCCAGTCGGCAGGGTGACTCGATACAGAATTTGCTTGGCTCTGCTCAGAGCCTCCTTCCGCAGTGAGGGCCTGTGATGCGGGCGCAGCTGCAAGGGGGGTCATTCAGTTGTAGGTTCCGGGCAAATGCAGCTAAACCTTCTGAAAGGTCTGTGGCAGAAACCCAATGTGAGACTGACAGTTTCTAAAGCAATCAGACCACGGTCAAGGCCACCTTTGCCTGAGGTATAGACTAGGAGTCAGTGAAGAGAAAACATGAAAGCAAGGATTACCCCTGATTTCTCTTGACTTGTGTTAGGATGGGTCCACATTTCTATCCCAATTTACGCTTTCATTCTCTAAAGCTCGAGAGTCTGGTATATTCAGAGGTCTCATTAAAAAAAAACGTATTTCAGCACCTGGCTTAAATTCATGAACATGGGAATTTAAACCTGTTTGGAGGCATTTAAAAAATTTTTAAAAGAACAGTTTATGCCCACTGTACTCTCCTTATAATTTTTAAGTAAAAATAAGACTATTTTGAAGCAAATGATCTCGACACAGGTTCCCACGGGTTCCCACGGTACAGGTTATGACCACCTGCGTTTTCAGGGACCGTGAAGGCCACAGTCGCTCAGAACGGGCCCTCACTGGACCCTTGAGGTCAGACCGCATGTGGAAAGGTGGCATAGGGCTGCGTGGCTTCGTTGGTCAGCCCTGTGTGTCGGTCTGTGCTCGGGCCACGGTCACAGTGCCACAGGCCGGCAGCTCACACAGCAGATACTTGTTTCCCATGGTCCGAGCTTTGGGCGCCAGGGGGTTGGCTCCTTCTGAGGCCCAGACGGCTGCATTTCTTCTGGGCTTCTGTCTGTGTCCAGATGTCCCCTGCTTACAAGGATGCCAGCTACTGGACCAGGGCCCACCCGGTGACCTTGCTGTAACGTGACCCTGTGTCCAAACTCGGTCACATTCTGAGGTCCTGGGGTGAGGACTCCAACCCCTGAATTTTGGGGGACCCGCAGTTCAGCCCAGAACACCCAGCTTCACTTCTGCATGAGGACGGCAGGCTGCCTTTAACAAGGGCCCATCGCCTCCTCTTTGGAGGCTCACTCGGCCGCAGGGCGTCTGCGGGAACTCGGATGTTCCTGGCGGTCGCCGTGGGTGCAGACCAGATGAGTCTGACTGTGTAATCGGGACACACGCCTCTGTCTTTGTCTGTGTTCAGAGTTTTAGCGGTCATCGTGTGGTCCTGGGGATCTGTCCCTGTCACAGAGCTCCCTGATGGGGGTAGGGTGGGGGCAGTGGGCGCCTAACATTCCTGTGAGCTCGGTGAGCAAACAAAACCCGCAGAGGCTCCCAGCTTCCCTCAGGAGGTTGGAAGCTAACCTTTCCCCCTGTTTTGGTTCCACATTGAAATGTGTTTCCTGGTCCCTTGTTCTGTTCCGCGAGGTCCTGTCAGCTGGTGCCCCAGGTCAGCTGGGGCCAGGGTCAAATGAGAGGTCAGGGCGTTGTACCGGCAGGCGGGGGTGGCCCCACCAGACTTCCTGCCCCACTCCTGCCCGCTCCAAGGACGTCAGCAGGGTCTCCTCTGTGCAACCCCAGGGCCACGTGTTGAACAATCTCCAGAATCTGGATGGAGGGTTTGTCACCCATCTGCCTTTCCTGTCACTGCGTGAGCTTTTAATTCCATCCTGCCAGGAAAAAGAGCTTTTTAATGAAAAGCATGCCCCAGTAGCCTTTCCCAGGGACTTCGGATGCTCTGGGATCTTTTCCCTGTGGGGTCTTTTTTGTCCATACAGCATTTATGGTGGGCCCTCTGTGCAGAGCGTTCTGATAGGCCCACAGCAGTCAAAAATGGTACCTAATTCTTACTGCAGTTGAAAAAATTATGTTGTTCATGAAACTAACCATAGTATTTGATAAAACTTCATAGTTTTATAGTTTAAATTTCTTTTAGAGTTTAATAGAATGACACTTCTTAAAGCTTGGGAAATGCCCAGAAATCACAGTGACATGGTAGAGCACCCCCAAAACCCAGAATTGTAAGCTCTCTATTTTAAGTCCCTTCAGAAAGGAGAGAGTTTCTGTGCTGATGATGCCTGTGGTAACAGCCAGCTTCCGGGTCAGGCTTGAACCCACTGCTGAGGCAGCTGGTGTGTGGGGCGGGGGGG